CGATAACTTCGTATAATGTATGCTATACGAAGTTATTACATATAACAATTGTAATATATTTTACCTTAATTGCTGATGCAACTACAGGTGGAGGTACTGAATTTGAGAACAGATATGGTCTACTTCTCTGCCTTAATAAACTTACAATTTCTTTTTTGCTAGTTGTATAACCACCTGAAGCCCCTCCAAGAGCTTTCCCTAGTGTGGAGTTAATGATGTCGATATCTCCTAGATGATCAAAGTATTCCTCTGTACCCCTAAATTAGAATTAGAAGTCAAATGAATTTAAATAGAGAAGTAATATAGGATTTTATAAGATCAGATACAAGACCTGCCAGTTCTGCCAAAGAAACCAGTAGCGTGGCAATCGTCTACGAATGTGAGAGCATCATATTTTTTGGCAAGCTCAATGATTTTAGATAAGGGCGCAACGGTACCGTCCATAGAAAATACTCCGTCGGTTGCAATAAGGCGTAAACGTGCAGACTTACTTTCTTGAAGCTTATTTTCCAAATCTGTCATATCTCTATGCTTGTACCTTGATATTACGAAGACGGAAAAAATCAATAAATCAGAAAATAAATGAAAATTTTGCTTACCAATTCTAGAACAAAAGTTACCTATATTTTTTCGCTTTGCATAATCGTATCCCGTCGATAATAGACGCATGATTTAGTTCATCACTCAATATCGCGTCATCGGCAGTTAATAGAGTTTCAAAGATACCAGCGTTTGCGTCGAAGCAAGATCCATAAAGTATCGTATCCTCCCTGCCATGAAACTTGGCAATCTTCTTTTCTAGTTCAACGTGTATCTCCTGCGTTCCGCATATAAATCTTACAGAACTTAAACCCGCACCATATTTATCTAGTGCAATCTTTGCTGCGTTAATGATATCCTTGTTATCCTGTGTTTAAAAAAAATCTCATCGTTAATTACTACAATTCTTATAAACATGTGACATTGTATATTTGCTGATAGTGTATTAATATTTATTCATTATTCTTGTCTTACCGCTAAACCTAGATAATTATTAGCACAAAAATTGAGTGCCTTCTTCCCATTTGATAATGCGATCTTTGTTCGTTGAGGCGAGGCAATTATACGCTCGTTTTTCCATGTGCCAGCTTTGACTATAGCTGCTAATTCAGGCTGGATGCAAGCAACTAAGGAACTCGTAGTCCAACTGACATTCCATCTGATATCTTGAAGTTTGGAAACTATATGAAAAAGATTAAGTTACACAGTTATTTCGGACGATGTTACCTTGCGAATATTATACACAAAATAAACGCACTTCTAAAATTTTTATACATATTACGTGCAATCATGTAATTTTGGATCTGGATGATAGATAACTGATTTGAAGATCGACATACAGCGTAGAAATAGTTGTCAAACCGGTTTTATTATCGGAGATGTAGTGGCACACCCTTGTCGCGCCAATCAGATCTTAGAACGTTTATTATGCAATTCTGTTTATTCCACTAAACATATCCGCAAAACATATTTACGATACAAATTAATGATCCGACTGCTTTTTAATAATTTTCTATAAATGTATACATCAATCATGGCACAAAAATGAAAAATATAAAAAAAAACGCATTCAGCATCTTCAATTTCCAATTTTATTAAATAACAAAATTTCTTTAGATACTTCTTAATAATATTATGGAATTGCATTTTCTAAGAAGTGTACGAAATCTTCATTGATTTAAATTCTACTTTTTTATTTCTTAAAAATGACATCCCAAAAGTTATAACTTTTCAGTTATATTTTTCTTATGTGTCATTGACGTATTAACAAGATATTTAAAAATTTAAGAACAAATTTATTTTCAATTTATATATTTTCTCCTATCTAGTCTGAAATAATTTTATCATAAATTTCTTAATTTTCTTCCATATCTATATATATTCTTATTCATTCATCATAATCTATAGTAATATATAAGTACTTCACTTTTTATGTTTAACATACAGCATATATTCTAATTTTTATAATCGTACTGATTATAAACGATTTTGGTCAAAATATGATTTATATTTATTACAATAAAAATAATAAATTATTGTCGCAATTAATTCAAATAAATTAATTCCATTATAAGAATTTAAAAATAGATTAAGAAGCTAAAAATTTTATTTCTATAAAATAATTTAACCAAAAAGCATGCTTTGTATTAAAATAAATTCCATATAAAGAAAATTGCTATATTTTTTTCTATCCTTCTCGAATACTATTACAGTTAAAATTTATTAAAATTTGCTGAGAGAGAAACCTATAACTTGAGACTTTCTTCTTGATTGTATCTACACACACACACACACATATATATATATATA